AATTCCAATGCATTAATTTTACATGGAAGAAACTTTCCATTTCACGGGCCCCATATCATTTTGCGCCAGGCAGTGGTGTGGTGTGATGTGGGACGAAGCACAGGAATCCTGCCCCTCTCTGCTCTGTGACTTAATATGACTTAACTGCCCTTTGCCTCTGTTTTTCTCGTCATTACAGAGCCGACTGTTGAAAGGATTAGCTAGTTCCTGGCCCACGGTGGGCACTCAGTAAGTGGTGGTTGTTTTGATTCCCACTCCTACTCTAGTTTCCACCCACTTTCAAGAGAAACAGAAGTCCCTGCAGATGGTGACCAACTGACTTCTCCCTGAAAACCGCAAGCAGGTGAATCACCAACAGCCTGAGAAAGAGTTTGCCAATGTGGGAATTACTGCAATTCACCACACAGTTGTATTCCACTGACATCTGATAGAGACTACAGAGAAAGGACGCGGCAGACTTAATCATTCGAACCGGCCTTCTCTTGGCCTCTTTGAGCTGGCCATTCGTAGGACTGCTCTTTGAGACTCAAAATGGCGCTCCAAATTTTCCATTCTCATTCTGCTTTGTCACTTTCCCACCAGTGGCTGGAGCCATTTACTACTGCATGAGTCAGATGACCTGGGCAGCCCTCCAAGTTATGCCTCAGATGGTACACCTGGCCCTGTCTCGCTGTGCCTCCACATTGCCATTGTTTAAAAAAAATGCGTGTATTCTGCTGACTATACGCAGAATGTATGGGGATTAAAATTAGCGTATGTGAGTGATTTTAAATACCACGCTCATTTAACATGAACACAGGAGCATTTTGATGCACTAAGTTAAATAGGGGCTTAGCTGTAATTTAGGCACTGGCTAGAGGTTGAGGGAGGAACAGGTAATTCATCCCTAATCAGGAAGAACAAAGGAAAAAGAGACATCTTACAAACTTCAGCAGGTTTTCCTCCGCTCAGCCATCCCAACACAAACACGCACAGCATAGGAATTTCCCCCAGACACTCACAAAATAACTCTGGGGAAAATGCAGCTGTTGAAAGCGAATCTCTTATAAAGAAACAGTCCAGTGAGGCTGATTCACAGGTGTCGTACACTGCAGATCCAGAGCTCTAGCTACCTCAGGCCCACACACAAGCCCTCAGTCACAAGGTGAGACAGCTATGTCACCTTCATAGAGGGGATGGGGGAAGCAGGCTGATTTCCAAGTGTGACAGTGACTTTTCCCTTAATTAAGCAGACAAAAGAACGAAAATTTTACTAGAGACCCAAAGAAGAGAATCAAAATTAAAACCCAAAGCTCTAAATAATGGGTTGGACACAATGAAAAGGCAGGATTCTGGCTGCCAACCTCTCCCACTTGGCTCCCATAGTCGGCATCTGGGCCTGGTTTCAATAGCAGCTTTGTAGCCCACATGGCCGGCACCACCACCATCCCAGGGACTCCCTGCTCCAGATAAAGACTGAGTGTGTCAGGGAGTGAGTGTGAGAGAGACGGGGGAAGGAGAGTGTGTGTGAGAGAGCGAGAGCCTCTGCCTCACTTGACCCTGAAGCCCCTACAGACCTCACAACATCGGTAGATCCAACAACCATAATTTTCAAACCGTGACTCCAATGAAAATAACATTCTTTATGGCCCCAGCCTCTTCTCTGATTCTTTCTACAGATGCCCAACCCAAAATTAGTATCCAAAAATACAGGAGAATTACTCTTATTCCCATGCACTGGTCTGAGGATCACTGAGCACATCCCTGCCCAAGAGTGTGTGAATGTGTGCGTAACCAGAATCCACTCCTCTCTCACACCTCTCTCAGCACCCAGACCACGCACACCCTGACAGATGAACCACAGCTGTGGATTCTCTCCTCCCCCATGCCCTCTTGTACTCTCGCAGGCACATGTGCCAACAGTTCCCTATACCAGGTGGGAAGATGAATGAAATACCCATGGCCTGGGCAGCAGGTGACTGGGGAGGTTTGGGGAGAAGGGCGGAGCTCCTGGGGAACACTGAGGACAAAGCTGGGAGATACATGGGGAGCAGACAGGTAAGCGCAGAAACTCTAGACAGTTTCTCCCAAGGAAGAACTTCTGTGATATGTTCTGATTTGGGTAAAGAAGCCAGTATTCACTTTACTACTTTGGGTATCATGGGCTAAGGAAGACAAACGCCTTGGTGGACCAAGATTAAATAATAACACATAGCAGACCTGCCTCCGTAGCAGAACGAGGAAGACACTGATTAAAACTGGGAGACGTAAGTCTGGCCCCAGCGACGTCTCCCACTCACTGGGCATCCAGGGGCCTCCATGTCCCCTCTCCAGACCGCGATTTCCTCAACCTTCACCCAAGGGACACCCCACGGGCTCTCTAAGGCCCTTGTCCTAGTGTCAACCTTTGCAGCCCTGGGAACCCCAGTAGCATTCATTCATTCCATCTTCTACTCTTAGAATTATACTGCACCATATAATTTTTACTTGCTATAGGTACTATCACAATTTTTTACAGGAAGTAAAGTGCCAATTGGGACTGAGAAGATGACAAGAGAGTTATGGGCAGGAAACAGCAGCTTTCCAAAAAAAAACCAAAACAAAACCATCAACCAAAGTTAAAAACACACTCTCCCCTCTCTGTACCCAGTAGGATAAAAAGTTAGGGGCCAGAGGTTCAGGCAGTGCTGTATTCTAGAAAGACAACCAGACTCGGAGTCAAGTATTTATTGGCTAGTTAATATTTCCAAGTTACTTAATCATCCTTGGTTATAAATGATCATCAAATTACAATGGTGATGAGAATTAGATGAAAAACCATTATAGGGGACTTCCCTGGTAGCGCAGTGGTTGGGAATCCGCCTGCCAATGCAGGGGACATGGGTTCGAGCCCTGGTCCGGGAAGATCCCACATGCCACGGAGCAACTGGGCCCGTGCGCCACAACTGCTGAGCCTGCGCTCTAGAGCCTGCGAGCTACAACTGTTGAGCCCACATGCCACAATAATGAGGGCCCGCGTGCCTAGGGCCCGTGCTTTGCAACAAAGAGAGGCCAACACAATGAGAAGCCCGTGCACTGCATCAAAGAGTATCCCCCTGCTCGCCGCAACTAGAGAAAGCCTGTGTGCAGCAAGGAAAACCCAACACAGCCAAAAATAAATAAATACAAATAAAAAAAAAAAAAGAAAAACCATTATAGTAAAACGCCTGCACAAAGCAAGTGTCCAAGTGTCAGTTAAATCCCTTCTTTCCACACTAACCTTAATCTGAAAACCATTACAAATACATACTTGTGCGTGTGTGTGCACAGCACACGTACACACAAACACTCCATATACACATACCCACAAAATCATGCTCACCAGCTGTGATTGACAAGGCAGGGGGAGGGTTCCAATTCTGTGGTGCTTTCAATGTTATTAACTCCACCTGTGGTTAGTGTGGGATTTTTTTTTTTTTTTTTTTTTTTTTTTTTTTTTTTTTCTTCTCCTCTTCCCCTCTCTAGGCTCTACCACCAGAGCGACCGCTGCTAAATCAGACCCTGTTAGCACTTTCTCTCCATTTCTTCTAGTTACTCTTAAACACTTTCCAGAATGACTCTCATGCTCACATCTATTTACTGTATGTAGGTGATGGGGTAGGGCATAAGGAATATTATTAGTTACAAAGTAGTATCTGTTTTTGTCTAGCAATAAAGGTTACTCTGGTCAAAAAAAGAACAGTTTTTCTGTCTGGGAGTCCCAACCATACATGAGTCAACCAGCCTATGTGATGAGCATTAAAAAAAAAAAAAAGAAAAATAGAAAATGCCAGTATGCACTACATGTAAAAGGGGTTAATACCATTTCATGAAACTTCTGTTTCGGTTACGTATGTACGTATGTGAGCACACTGATTGGTATGTAAAATGAATTTCATATGGTGGGTCACAGTCAAAAATGTTTGAAACCCACTGGGATGGGGCCAAGGAATAGACAGGAGTCAGAAAGGCCTAGTCTCCCCACAGCTGTTCCTACTTCTTCCTGGGTCTTGCTGGTTTATAATCCTCCCTGGATTGTATCTTCTGCCATCCCAAGACCCTCACCCTTTTTCCTCCCACTCCAGCGCACAGTATCAAGTTTTTCAGAATGGCTTCCACACCTCATCCTTGCCAGACCAGGAAGGGAACTCCGGAAAGAAACTGTTCTGGTGTTTTTTCCCCTAATAGACACTCCACATTCCAGCAACCTCAGTGGAGTTAGGAATAGAAAGACACACCTGGGCTTTCTTAAACCCTAGAACCAAGACTACAGCTCTCACCCCTACAATCCTGAGAGCAGGGTCCTTCCCCGACTACCTAAGGCTCTCGGAGGGAGGTATTTACTCATTCACTTTTGAACCCCATGAATTCTCTCACCAGTAAAATGCACACTTCCTTACTGGATGGTCAGGGTAAAGCCTACCTGAGGAGGCTTCTCTTTTCATCGGTCTCCAGCTTAATCCCTCAGTGCCACCCCTTAATGCTCCAGGCAGCAATTCCTCAAAATAATACCATCAGAGGGAGTGAACTTGGCCGCTCACAAAGTTACCGTGCAGGGAGGGATGGGGAGCAAGGGCGGGAAGCCGAGAACACGGAAGCTGAGGACGCTCAGTTTCGGACGAATTCACCTGGGGGGCGTTCCTCCTCCTCACGGGAGAAACCTTTTAACCGAGCCCGAAACAAAAACAAAAGCCTGCGTGCCTGTGGCCACAAACGAGATCCTCTGTCACCGGAGAAGCACAAACACGACTGTGGGGACGGGCGCGCGGGCTGCGGATCCGCTGAGAGGCAGCGGGACGCAACGGAGAGGGGGTCAGAGGCGCGGGGAACAAAGCCCCACGCCCCGACTTCCCGGGGGCAGCGGGCTCGCCCAAGGGAGCCAGGTCGGCGCGGAGGGGGTTGCACGTGTGCGGGTGCGCGCGCAGCGAGCCCCTCCCCCGCCGCCCCCGAAGCCCAGTGGGCGGCGACCCTCTCCCCGCCCGCGGTCTCGGAGCGGCTCTCACCCGAGCGGGGGTCGAAGGGGACCACGAACACGGCCACCACCTGGTCCTCCTCCACGTCGCCCAGCTCCAGACGCCCGGGCTGCAGCAGCACCTGGGAGGGACCCAGCTCCTCGGGCTCCCGCCTCCTCGGCGGCTCCGCGGCCGCCCGGCCGCCCCCGCCGCCGCCCCAGCCCCGGACTCCAGCCTGCGGGTCCGGGGCCAGCGGCGGGGAGACGGCGGGGCCCTCGGCCCAACGCAGCAGCGGCGCCGCGTCTCCCCGCTCCACCATGGCGAGGTGAGGAGAGGCGAGGCGCGGCGGCGAGGAGGAGCCGCGGGCGGCGAGGGGCGGGCGCAGGGGCGGGCTGCGGGAACTCCTCTCGCCGGAGGACGGGCGGCCGGCCGGCCGGCCCTCGGCGCTCACGCCGCGCCTCCGGGCGTTCTCCCTACGGGCTTCGCTGAACTGCGTGCCTGGTTTGAGACTTCACGGATGCATCTGCGCGCCCGGGGATAGGAAAAGTGCGGTGACATGGGCGCGCAGCCACTTGGATCTGTCTACCTGTGCCTTCTCACCTAGGATTCCGTGGGATGACTGTACCACCGTGAACTGTTATACGCCAGCATGATTTTGAAAGTCCCCTGGCCATATGGACCGTGACAGATAGGTGTTACATAACCCTGGGTGTGTGTTCAGAGCTTCCGCCGTGCCGGGAGTGAAGCAGAAGCGGGGAGCCCCGGCTGCCCGCGTTGTTTGCGCTTGGGACGTGGCCTGATCCGCTGAAGCTATGGGCTTTGGTGTCCGGCCTGGAGTAGTGTGTGTATCACCCAGTCGGTGTGCCCTTGAATGAGCTGGATAGTGCCTGGCCCTGGCCTTCCTGGACCCTGCTTGGGGCTCCCCATCCGTTTCAGTGACTTAGTCTCTACAGAGAGTGGTGGACGATGGTCACTTACTTGCCCTTGCGGGGTGGGGGAGAGGTTGATAAATATAGCCAAGATGAAAGCAGTCTCCATTCTTCAGGGTAAAATGCTGCATAGATTCTTTTATTGTTGTGTCATAGATTTTTGTCTGGAAGCAGCAGCCTTGGGCAGTCATTGATGATCTCCTTGGGAAGGGGGGTTAAATCATCTTATCATTGCGTGTCTGGTACACAGATATCACTCTTCATCAACACCCCCCGGGTAACGCCTAGTGTCATTCTGAGGGCAGGCAAACCCCAGGCCTTCCTGAACCTTGGAGGAATTGGGTGTCTGAACATGTCTCTCTCCTCACTTCATTCTTTCTCATTATTTTAGTGGCTATTCCTATTTCTTTTTCCCACCTCCTCTGGTTACTTAACCACCAGATTTACCCCAAGGGGTGAGGCATTCAAAATGTTACTTCTAAATATAAAATGGGGAACTCTTAAAAAATCCTTAATCCATTTCCAAAGCCATCAGCTTTAGTCTGACTTTCCTTTTTTTTCCAAGGGACTTCCTTTTCCTGATCTTTTGTGTGAGCCTCCCCCCAGCCCTGAATTCCCTAGTTTAATACCCTCAAGCTGTATGAAGAAATAAACTCATAATCTCCATCCCAATCGATTTTCTGTATAAACAGAAGACCAAAATGTCCAAACCCTAAACCTAGCGCCTTTTCCAATTTTCATTTAAGCATGTGTTCTAGCTCACCAGCAATCAAGTCAATCTTCAGACCCTAGTGCCTTGCATAACGGGTGCTCAACAAATATTTGTCAACTAAGCAAATGAATGAAAGTAGAGACTTAAACCTCTGCACAACTTGCCCCCTCCTGCCAGGCTTAACCTAGTATCTTGCACATAGTGGGTGTTCAAAAATGTTAATGACGCTGTTGACACTCTGCTTGACATACATTCACAGACTGAGAGAGGCACGGTACCTGACCATCAGATTCATCATCTCTGTGTCTACTGAATTTCATGAGATGATAGGAAGGGAATTAATTGAACTTAGCTATTAGAATAGATCTGGTGGGAAACTAGTGTTAAGGGCAATAAGAAATGAAGGTCGGTCACATTCAGAGACTCTCGGGTAATGTTAACTTTTTTAATGAGTTCCCCTAGAATCCCATATGTCTAAATTTTAAAATAAAATTATTTCACTTTTACAAATAATATATCTACATTATGTAAAACATAAAATATATCTATACTCTATAAATATCTCTACAATAAAAATATAATGTACATAAAATACATTATATAAAAGTATTTTTGATCTATCATCTCACCGCTGAATTGGCCTCTGTGAAGATTTTGCTTATCCTACCCCATCACTTCTAGAATGCAAAATTTTTCACTTGTTAGGATTGCTATGGCGACTTATAACTGCTGCCGGCCCCACTGAGGTCCGGGTCTCACAAGGGAGATTTGTGTTTGCTTTTGTCAGCCATCTGGAGGCACCACCAACCAGAGACTACTCTGAGTTAAATTCTCTGCTGGAGGTTCTTTGGACCACGCTGGTAGTGTGAATTCAAAATATAAGCTAGTGCGAGCCCTGCCTTTTAATTCCTAGGTGAGATTTTTTTCTTCTGCACCCGATGACAAAGTTGAGACAAGCAGTCTTCCTTGCCTGGCCCTCTCCGCGTGGGAGGTTTACTTGGCAAAGTTGTGTAGGGGGTGTCATATTAGACTCCCCATCATGGGCATTTTTTATTCTTAGTGGCATGTAAAAATAATGGTATAATAATGGTATATCTTAAAATAAATGATAGATTTAGTTGTTTTTCTTTTCTGTGTTTACATGTTGAAATCATACTGTATATCAATTTTGTATTCTTTTTTTTCCCCTTAATATCAGACTGTGAACAGTTCACCATTCTATTAGAAAGTTTTATATGCATCATTTTAATTCTTTCTCTTGTATGTGTGTTTGAAAATTTATTTACTTAACCATTCTCATTGTTAAACAATCAAGCTCTTCCCTTTTTTGTTGTGCCTAAATTTCACTCTGAACTAACACTAGGTTCCTATTCTATGCCAAGTCCAGCTGTGAAGAAAACAGACATCCCTTTGCATCAAGCTTATAGCCCAGCAGGGGAGGCAGCTATCAGGCAAAAAATGAAATCTAGAATGAGGGGTGACAGGCAGGGCAAGTACGATCAGCTACTCACGCTGCTGACATGACAGATTGCCAGAGGTGGCCGTACTGGATTAAGGTGTATCCATGTTTTGATTGTACTGCCAAATTGTTGATTCACAAGTGTACAAGGGCATCAGTCTCATTTCCCTCTTGTCCCAATTAGATAGTGCCATTTAAAATCTTTTTTTTTTTTTGGCCAGTTGTCAGATGACCATGGCATTTTGTTTTAAGTTAACGTTTTGTGACTGAATCTAATCATGGTTTCGAAATATATGTTGGTGGTTTGTGGTTCCTCTTCAGAGCATTGTCTGAAGACACTGTCCGAAGAATTGTTATCAATTTGCATGAGTTCTTTATGCAGTAAGAATATTAATCTTTTGTCTGGCATAATTTTTGTTAATATTACTTCCAGTTTACTGTATGGTTTCAATGCTGCTTAATTGCTTTATGAAATATAGAAGTTCTAAATTTTATGTCATCGAGCTTATCAGTTCTTTTTGTGATTTCTCACGTTGCTTTGACATTTATAGAGTTGTTCCCCTCCCAGAAATTTGATCAACCTTCACTTTTATTTTCTTCTAGTTATTTATGATTGATTTTCCGCATTTGATCTCTTCATCTATTCATTGTTTATACTGATATGTGATAGGAAGTGAGACTCTAAAATATTTAATATTACTGGTATTTATTAAGCTATATATTCTTCACCACTGACCTGCCTATTCTACATACAATTTAAAGTTCTATTTCTAGGAGAGGTAGTCTTCTGTTTACTCTTTTTAAAAAATCTTCAGCTATTTCTTTGACAATGATTTTTCCATGTGAAATTTAAAATCATTTTAGCCAGTTTCAAAAAAATGTGATCTTTGTTCATTTGAAACTGCGTGAGAATTACAGTTGACCCCTAAGCAACACAGGTTTGAAGGGCGTGAGTCCACTTACGCGTGGGTTGTCAGTAGTAGACACTACAGTGCTACACCATCTGTGGTTGGTTGAAAGCACAGATGGAGACCCACGAATGCAGGGGAGTCTCAGATACAGAGGGCCTACTGTAAGTTACATGAGGATTTTTGACTATGCTGTAGGTCGAACCCCAACCCTTGTGCCCCTTGCACTGTTCAAGGGTCATCTGTACATATTTACTGGAGAAGGGTCAACATCTTTATATAACTAAGCCATTTTATTTGGCCAGGTAGTCTTCCATCCATGTGAGGAATAGGTTGCTCTGCCTCCATGGTCAATCTGCATAATTAGTGGACCAGGGCAAATACCAGTGGTCCAGACACGAGTCCAGATTGCGGACAAGCTGAGGTGTAACGGGGTGAAATTTAGAATGTGAATGGAGGAGACACATTTACTTTACACATTAGCCACACAACTATAACGTCAGCCCCATCTACACAGAATCATCTGTGCTTCGGGCACTTGTTGGCAGGATCCAAGTTGAAAGCCCAGTAAATCACATACTACAGAGGCTGAGTCCAGGTTGAGCCATAAATGGTGTAGGGATTAATAGAATAAGATATATATTCAAAATTACTAAGTTATTTAAAATCCACACATCCCTCCCTTTTAGGCCTCTGAAATTTGCAATGGAGTTGGAAATTAAACATCTGAAGCCTCGTAAAAGGTATCCATTCTGCAGCAGTGTCCATCATAAGGGTACATAGAACACATAGTGTGTGCCTTGATTCACAGCACCTACTGTGTGCCAAACCTTACTCCAGGTAATGGAAAAACAGCATCAAGCAAGAGTTAAGTCCCTATCCTCATGGAATTTAGATTCTATTGGGGGTGGGATGAGGGAGACAATGTTTTAAATGAACCATTGAATATATAATATATGATGTAGTGGTAAGTGCTGTGAAGAAATGTGAAACAGGGTGAGGGACCAGAGAATGGGTGATGGGGTTGATGCGGAAGACCTCTCCGATAAATGACCTGTGAGCAGACAACTGAAGGAAGCGGGGTGAGTGAGACGTGGGAAAAGTTTTGGCGTCTGGAGGAACAGTGAGGAGACTAGAGCAGAGAGCGGGTAGCAGGAATCAGACAGGTTGTTGGGTGGATCCTATGGCCCTGGGGGCCTCGTAGAGGGGCTGGCTCCGTATTCTAGTGAAATGGGAGTCCCTGGAGGATGTGAGTGCAGGATCCTTTTAGAAGGATCCCTTTGGCTGCTGGGTGGAGAGGGGCCGGGGGAA